GGGGAGGAGGGAGAGGCGGCAGCTCCCCGCGAGCAAAACCAACCTTTCTCTAATTGGAACCGCGGAGCGCTGGCGCTGTCTGGGCTGCGGCGGCGCGGGGCGGAGGAGGAGAGGGAGGGGGGCTTTTATTATTATTTTTGCATGTACTTACCGAGCTAGCCATGCCTGGGGGCCCGGAGGTTTGCCGGGGTGTTGTGTGGTACCCCCCCTCCCCCGCCCCCTTCAGCTGTAATTCATGAAGAGGCTGCTATGAATGAGAGCGCGCCCGGGAGCGGAGGGTAGATGGCGGACATGCTCTGCCTTTGCCCCCACCCCACCCCGCGCTCTCTCGCTTGCTCGCTCGCTTATTAAACTCAGCCCCAAAAGCAAAAGCAGCAGCAGCAGCAGCAGCAGCAGCTCCGGGGCCAGAGGATGAGTCCGGAGCATGCGCCGTGGCGCCTGACACCCGGGCTTCGAGCCTCTCGGGGCGGAGGGAGGGCGCGCGGGCGGGGCGGAGCGCGCGGGGAGGCCGAGCGACCGAGCCAGGGGGAGCTCGAAAGAGCCAATCAGCGGCCGCCTCCCGAAACCCCGGCGGCCCGCAGCGCCACACTGGAACGCCTCGCTTAAAGTAACAGGTTCCTGCTGGGGAGGGGGGGGGAGGAAATGGAGGGAGGAGGCCCGGCGCTGGGAGAGCGGCCAGCTGGGGAGCCATCCCGGCCCCTGTGCAAACTCCGTTCGCCCTACAATAAAAAACGGATTAAAACTGCTGGAATGTGGCCACTGCCTGGAGCCCCCAGCCGCCGGAGAAGGGGTTGTTAAATCAAGTCTTTGGCGGTAGTGAGCACGTTTGAGAAGGGAGAGCGGGCTTGCTTTTACTTTCCACCGTGGATTTTTGTGGGTCTGTGCTGAAATCGCAAGAACGCACACCCAAACAAACTTACTTAAACAGAGAGCGAGAGAAATCCACGCGACAAGAAAAAAAAAAAAAGCCTCCAAATAGCAATCTCTGGGACTGAGCAGCCCGCAGTAACCTTACTTACATCCCTTTTTCCCATCTACTCCCAGGCACCAGCCCACCCCGCCCTCCTGCCACCGCCACTGAAAATTTAAAAATGAAATGTACGCGAAACAGGAATGCCATTTCCTTCCTAGGAAACGCCTCCCGCCTTGGTGATCCCGGGCTGAGAAGCTTCACAAAACCATGCCCAGGTGAAATCTAGACACCTGGGAGTGCCCGGTGAAGACCCTTTGGGAACCAGCTTCCCAGTTGTTTTCTTGGAGAGGCTTCCCCCACTGACAACCTGCTGGGTTGCATCAGGGTCTGTCCTCTCTCTAAGGACGCACGAGGCGACTGGGAGCCTTAAAATAGATAAAGTTAATACTGACTGTAATGTGCATAAATTGGATTATAATCTTTAGGCATATTGGTGACAGCCAACGTAATCCATCTCTGGGTATTAATCCATTTAGGCTCCCGGGTGACAACCCGTTGCAGGAGTGCTCCAGAGTCGCTGTTCTACAAATGCTTCAGCTCCGCTTGTATTTTGTCTCTGTGGCCATGGATAGAAAGAATATCAAGCCATACGTGGGGCGCAAAAAAAAAAAAAAAAAAAAAAAAAAAAAAAAAAAAAAAAAAAAAAAGGAAAGAAAGAAAGAAAAAGAGTTACTAGCTTCCTCTAGAGACACAGACAACCTTTAAAAAGGAAACGGATAAGATCTAGACGAGATACGAAAATGAAAGATGGGTGTGACTTTGTTTCGTTAAATAAAGTTCTTGTACCTTTCTGGCTCTTAATTCCTTTCTTGAACTAGTTTTGGTGGGGGCTGTTTTCCGGACTTTATCTTTTGTTCACTACCCTTTCTCTCCGGATCGCCAACTTCTTCTTTTCTCCTTGTCCTTTTGTCTCTCTCCCTCTTTCTGACTCAACTTTGTTGCTTTCCTCTTTTCCTGGCGCCAGAGACCATGAAAGCACAACTCGGCCCTTGCATTGAAGACTTCAGAATAACGGGAAGGAGGTTGCCTGGGGCCCCAGGTTCTCCATGATCAAGTTCAGTTCTTCCCGCTGCTCAGCGATGTAGATGACTGGAATCAGATAGGATCAACCACTTCCAGCCAAGTCCAAAGCAGCAACTTTGCAACTCAAGTGGTGTGGTTCTCCTAAAACTGTTTCTCCCATCCTTCAGAATTCAGCACAGGGGAGAAGGTACCTGAGGGAGGAAACTTCAATACAAGTCCAAGGACATATTTCTCAGCCAAGTCCATAAGTACATGTCATCTCTGTGTGTGTGTGTGTGTGTGTGTGTGTGTGTGTGTGTGTAAGCACTGTTTGCATATACACAGACCTGCTGTGTGTGCTGTGTAAGTGAGGGGTGGCTATCTACTCTACGTCATCACACCACTTGTCAAATAACCAGGTTGTAGGGACTACTCTGGAATGATAAGCTTGGAAACTATGATTATATGAATATGTTTTTAGTAAAGTCATTTCCACAGAGTGGTGACCATTCAGCATTTGCTCTGATTCCAGAGTTGATCTCTTGGTATTCCCTCCAGAAACTGTAACTTATATTTGTAAGAGGGATTCTCAGGCTAGCCCAGCCCAGCACACGCCCCCCACACACACACAACGTGTGTGTGTGTGTGTGTGTGTGTGTGTGTGTGTGTGTGTGTGTGTGTGAAATGTTACTGAATTTGTATGTGTTCCAACAACCACAAATAAATCATAGAATCTGACCGAATCTTTCCCCAACACCCTTCCTTTCTCAAAGAATGCTTTAAAACCCTTGCATGTAAAGTAATTCCCAGTCTACAGACACGGAGATTTAAAACATGCCAGTAGATGGCGCACAGAGCCCTTCCACCAACGTCCTTACGTGACCCTCTTCACAACAAAAAGACTTCGACCAGGAAAAAGAGAAAGAAAACACAGCCCGAAATACTCTAGGTTCAACTTTGAACAAAGGAATTTTACAACACTCTTTCCATTTATTCATTTGTACCTGTTTCAATAAGTTGGCTGTTAACAACAATAAAACTGTGATAGCAAATGTCTGTCCTGTCCATTTATCTTGAAAATCTTCACAGTTGGAGGTATAAATGTGGAAAGTCAGTACTTGACAATGCAAGTGTAGAAAATGCACTCAAATCAAATGGAGAGCTAGCTCCCACGTGGGAATCTGAAGCAGGAGGCTCTGGATTCCAAGGCTAATCACAACTACACAGCAAACCTGGGCTTTGGGAGACATTGTCTCAACCACAAAAAAAAAATGGACCAAAGAGAAATTTTAAAACAAACATCAGCCGGGCGGTGGTGGCGCACGCCTTTAATCCCAGCACTCGGGAGGCAGAGGCAGGCGAATCTCTGTGAGTTCGAGGCCAGCCTGGACT